TTAGTTAGTTAGTTAACGTAGTACGTAAGTACGTAGTACGTACGTACGTACGTAGTACGTACGTACGTACGTAGTACGTAGTACGTAGTAGTAGTAGTAGTAGTAGTAGAGTAGTAGAGAGAGAGAGAGAGAGAGAGAGAGAGAGAGAGAGAGAGAGAGAGGGATGTGGATGGGAAGAGAAAGAAGGAGGCTTCATTTGCTGTTGCTGCTTTTTGGCTGCTGCTATAGTGACATTCTTGCTTGCTAATTGTGGGCCTGTTAGCCCCCCCGTGATGGCCTCTTCCTTCACAAGTGCGTTAGCCTAAGAAGCTTAAACATGCATGTCCGAGGGTTTGACCAAGTAACACGGATGTGGGGGTTGCCACTTCTAGAAACGGACACGACTCCCCTATTGAGTGTCCAATAGCGTTTCTCTTTTTTTTGGACATGTTGTCTTTAGAACGTAATGTTTCTTTGTTTAGAAACATCATCCTTCTATGGTTTTAGTTTGAAAATTAAAAAATGTTTTAGAATAAAAATAAAAAATTGTCCATGTTTACATAAGTCAATTTAGGAACGCCCATTTATTATAAATCATTTTTTATTTTCTATTTTCAAAATAAAAAATTGACATGTCCATTGTAAATCTGCAAAGCTCTACACTTCCCCAAAAGACAGACCGCCTTTGTCTCTGGGCGCCCACTTAGGCGGCCCAGAATCGCCTAGGTGGCCGCCTCCGCGTTTTTGAATCCCTCTCTAAGTTGTGAATCTCCATCTTACTGAGAATCTTCATCTCACCTCTTATATGGACTGCACGTAAATATCAATATATATATTTGTATAGATGTGCACATACATGTATACACCTATATATTGTATGGACCTGTCATGTTTAGTGGCAATTTTTGGGATTCACGCTTTTGACACTCACATTTGTGTCAAAAATAGACATGCGTATCCATTGCTATGTGACATAGGCATTAGTGATGTGGTTGGCTTCCCAGGCCAGGTGGTTAAAGATCACCTGATCATAATGAAAATGTTGGGCTAGTCTCCACAGACCTAGATGGATTGCTGAAGCCCATGAGATAATGGTATTGGAGGCCCCTTCTATCAGCAAGGTTGAGAAATTCCGTGATGAGTCTATTATATAGTTACAAGGATCGTCCAAATAGGCGCTTTGGGATCTCTCTCCCACACTATAGGAAGGGATCTCGATTTCTAAATATTTGGGATCCTGATTCCTACTATTAGGTGATTCCCATTCCTCTATAAAGGATATCAATTCGAACCTTAAGTACTAAAACAACAACCAAACTGAGGAATTAGCAACATAACTATAGTTTAAATATAGTTTCATTACTTGCTGATTATTAATAAAGAGATTTAGCAATCAAGATCCCAAAATGTTAGAATCAAGATCCTAAGAAAGTTTGGTTCTCGATCCCTAACATTTGGTGATCTTCATCCCCAACATATGCCTTATGCGGACAATGCTCCCAACAATTGGAATCTTATAGCATTTTATGATCCCCTGCTCCCGATCCCTATTCTATTCCTGGTCCTGCTCCCTAACCCAACAACTATGTTCTTTTCTTATAAGTCCTTCTCATACTTGTCGGGAACGCCCAACATAAGTGGTGATCCCACTCTAGAATCTCACTCCAGCGCTCCGGGAAGACCAAGATCTTGATTTTTAAATTTTGAAATCTGAATCCCCATTGTTAGGGACCCCGATTCCTACTCTTACGAATCTTGATCCTAACCTTAAAGACCAAGATAACAACCAAACTGATAATTTTCTTTATTTATAACCAACTTGTAACACAACTAAATTTTTGATATGGTTGCATTGCTTGCCGGCTATAAAGAGATCTCTATTTTAAAGAGTGTACTTAGTCCAATTCCGTACATACTCTTTAAGGTTGTTTGCAAGATCCCCAAAAGGTTGGGATCAAGATCCCAGAAGGTCAAGTTAAGATTCCCAAAAGGTTGGGATCTCAATCCCTAGCATTTAAGGATCTAGATCTCTAACATATCCACTATATGGACGACACTCCAAACCATAGGATATTCTAGCATTTCAAGATTTGCCCGCTCCCGAGCCTGATCCTGCTCCTTGTTGATCCCTAATATTTAGGGATCTAGGTCCCTAAAACATAAATTCTACGGATGATACTTCCAACCATAGGGATCTTCTAGCATTTCAAGACTCCCCACTCCCAAGTCCAATCCTGCTTCTTGTCCTGCTCTTGATCCCAACAATTATGTCCTTCCTGACTGCTATAGTCTTGGCCTAATTGTAGTTTGCAATTCCAATGTAGCCAGCGGAGGACAACATGGTATCGAGGTGGTCCTTGAAAATTATATCGAAACTTGAGAGTCAAGGGTTGCTAAGAATCCATTTGAGATTTAGATTGATTGAACCTTCCTTTGGTGCGCGCTAGCAGTTAGATATGATTATCAGAGATGTGGGCTGGTGTGTTATGCTTGCCACCCAGTTTCTTTCTGCTATAGGAAAATGGATTAGTTCTTATATTTTTACTCTTATCTTCCATGGCGGGGATTGAGCTGTCATTACCATCAAAGATGCAGCTATCCCTTTATTTCATAATGTCCAGCATACACACATTATGGACTCCATCCAAAGGAAAAGACTGGTTGAGGGCTATGAATAGTTACTGGACGGATTACGGAGTTCCCGGCACCAATTAAAATAGGGAAATGGAGGAAAAGATGGTAATTTGTTTTTTTGCCCCCAAAAGCTTTCTATTGAGATGCTCGAGAGTTATGGGGTACCAAAAGCATGTTATGGAGTACTCCATATTGACCTATCACTAGTTGGAATAGGGACATATGGTAGATGGGGATGTTGGAGAGTGTGGCCTTTATGAGGGTGATTGGTCTGCCCAGTGAGAGGAACCTCCCCTTCCAAGATGCTAGTCGTCGACCACCCGGTCCCAAAGTTTCTTATGGGACTTCGGATACGCGAATGTAGGCCAATGTTTTAAGGTAAGGATTCTACTCTACATCCAGTCTATGTGCCAAGACTGCAGTGGAGTCATTGTCCATGCCATGAGTTTAGACGTGGCCATATTTAACTTCATGCCTGAGCAATTCAAAGCACCTGCCTTGAAGAAAGTGTTGTGATTTCATGCAGCTCTATAGTAATATAATTAAACAAAATCTTCAAAAACAATGTTGGGGCCATTTTTTTTTTACTTTAATTTTTGGATATGAACTATTTTCATTATAATGAACAATCGACAAAAAGAAAAATTTGAAAATACACCCTAGAAAGTAGTTTTTTAGGCCAATTAACATAATCCGTCCATTTTGGTGAGACTCTTAGATCTAGGCCTTAGAAGGATTTTTTCCCCTTCAAAATTTTCGGATAGCTTGATTATCTAATGATGAACAATGTTGCAAAAGAAAAAAATGATTTTGAGTTCGTAAAGTCATAGATCTTGAAATTCACCAAATGTGTGGTCTAGATTAATTGTTGAAGGGGGACTCATTTTGACTATATCTAGGGTGCAAAGTAAATTTTATTTTTTTAGGGATTGATTATTAGGATGAATGGATGGTGTATGCAATTGTTTTGGTGTCATACAAATGTTATAAACATGGTTTTCTAGAACTATTGCTTCATTATACTATAATGAGATGGCAACATGAAATCACGGCCCTATAATATATGTGTGTGTGTAGACATAGACATATATGTATTTACATGTATGTGTGTGTGTGTATCAGAAAATCAGTTTGGCTTTGTGTCAGGGAGGTCACCAGTTGAGGCTATTTTCTTACTTAGGCAACTGGTTGAGAAGTTTAGGAAGAAGAAAAGGCACCTCCCATTGGTCTTTATTGATTTAGAGAAAGCATATGATAGGTTGCCTAGAAAGATATATTGACATGTTGGAAAAGAAAGGAGTCTTTAGAGGATATATTGACATGGTGAGAGATATGTATGAGGGAGTGCTAATTAGTGTGAGGACAACAAGTGGAGAGGCAAGTGAGTTTTTAGGCACGGTAGGCCTACATCAAGGGTCAGTGAGGAGCCCAAATCTCTTTGTTCTGGTTATGGACGAGTTAACTAGGCATCTACAAGATGAGCTACTGTGGTGCATCATGTTCGCAAATGGCGTAATTTTGATTGACGAGACTAGAGGCGGTGTCAACATAAAGTTGGAGCTTTGGAGGGGTGCTCTAGGATCTAAAGATTTTAAAATTCGCCAGACTAAGACAAAATATATAGAATGAAAGTTTAGTAATAATAGGAGCAAAACGAGGAAGAAGTTAAGATTGATGACCAATAAATGCCTAAAAGAGGTTATTTTTGATATGTTGGGTTGATAATCTAAGAGAATGGAGAGATTGAGGAATATATCACGTATAGAATTAGAGCTGGGAGCGAAATGGAGATGTGCATCCAAAGTTTTATGTGATTGCCGCATACCAATGAAACT